AAAGAACACAGAGTGGGGAAGACTCACTTTTTTTGTCAATGAAGATATCTGGGTAGTGCTAATACTCCCCTGGAAAGATTTCCCCTGGGAGAATCCCCATCCAGAAAGGAATAAAAGGACTTCCTTTAGAAAGTTGGCAAAAAAGGTATGCGAAGTTCTGTGTGTCCTTATATGGATGGGGTCCTACCATGACAGATCATCCAAACCGCCCGCCTCCAAGAACAGCTCTCTTCCTCAGAGCAAAGGCTGTTCTGGTGAAGAGAGGAATGAGAAAATAATTAATGTCCCAACCGCTGATGTTTGGAAGGTTTTTTACTTTTTTAAAATTTGTTAAGAAAAGAAAAGATGCTGATCTTTACCTTTATGTAGGCGAAGTAGTGTCCTGCATGGCAGCTAAAACCAGTATGTACTAAGACTGCATACAGGGTGTAAAGAACTGGTTCTCCATTTTGTTGGGACATAAATGGGCGAAGATCCAGGAACTCAGAATATTTTACATCCTGAACAGAAATAGAAAAGAAAAGCACAGATAATCCTGGAATATTTTACAAGTTATAGAAAGCTGGAAACATTTCAGATGCTGGAGGTAGAAATATTTCTAAAAAAACATAAGCGAAAGAGGGACCAAAAGTATATCCTCCCCAACCCCAAAGTGAAGTTTTGGTTTCCTTTTGCTAATGACTGGTTTTCCCAATGACCAGTCTATAATACTGTAGAAGTTCAAGAACCATCCTCTTGAAAACAAATTTCCTAACAGCAGAGATAGGCAAGTGTTTATTGTTTGTTCAAAGCAAGGATTCTTGACCTTTCTGGATTCAAGGTGCCCCTCGTTAGACCCAAGGCACCTCTCAGAAAATGCTAGCTCTTGGTTTTTGCTCATTTTGACTATGGAAAAATAATAGAGCAATTCTTCTGCTGTAAGGATCTCAGAAGTAGCACAAAAGCCCAAATTATTTTTACCAGTATGGATTCCTATTTAAAATCTCTAGGTTAATCTTGTTAATCATATTCGCACACCTAATAGTGCTAACATTACATGGCATCCTGCGACACCCTTGAATAGATTTCAAGGTATCCCACAGTACTGCAGCACCCTAGTTCACAATCACTGATTTGAAGGTTATTTGAAATTGGAAATCTGCTGTTACCCAAGAAACAACAAGATAAAGTTACTGAAGTATTTTTCAACATAACTGTTGCCCTCTGAAGTCTTGACTTGCTTTACAAAGGTATTAGCTTTTGCCTGAGTACTTGGTGGTAGAAAATGGAAATGTCAAGATAAAATTGCATTACAATTGTATATACCTTTGAAATCTTTCCACCACTGAAATTTGCAAATCGTTTCAGAGATATGGTGAGCACATTAGAAGATCGATGTATTGTAAACCTTTTTGAAGCAGGAACTGTCTTTTTACACCTTAGAAAGAAACACAGGCAATTGGTTAAGCTTATTTTGATTTTTAAGCATTTGTCATGGTTCTTCATATCTCAGTAACTTATCTACATCATTTAATTAAATATTTCTTTGCATGCTGTGTTTTTGCCCTTAAGACATTCATACACAACATTTCAGGTTAGCTGAGAGAGAGAGAGAACATCTGACGGCAGCTCCCTTGGATAAAGAAAAAAGGGTCCAGAACATATGCGTGTACACTTCTCCAAAACCTGGGGATACCAACAAAAGTGGTACTTTCTAACAACCCCCGAAGTAGTAGGAGCAGACTTCTTACTGAAGCAGTCAGTCCTTAGAAATAGCCTTGAAAAACTAAAAAAGGTACAGCAGCATTCTTTTACTATGAAAATGTCAGTAACATTTTACTATATTAAATTGCTTGCACAACAGATTTTTTTTCAGTTTACTGCCAGGATGCAGAAGAGTAAAAGCCAAACTGAGAGAAAGGAGGACCTATCCCCATATGGGACAAAGAACTGCAGGCAGATAGTCTGCAGCTGTTACAACTGTTCCACAAGATGAGGCCATATAATAAATTCTGTGACAACCACCTAAAAGCTAAACTTGTAAGTGAGCCAATGAGGGTCTCTCTTACTGAGCCCTTCTCATTCAACAAAACTAACCCAAGTCTTTTCTCTCTCCCAGGTTAGATTATTTGTTTTGTACTAGTCAGTATACAACAAAATATCTTACTTAACACTGTGCTTCTGAGCCAAATGAAAACCACCTTTTCTTTTTTGAAGACAAACAACACACAGAACCAAAATCTATGTTATTAATGATGTGTGAATGCATCTTACCTGCTACATTTGTAACAGTTTTCACCATCTAGCTGTTCAGGCTTCACAAACAATTCTAGAGCTTTGCTTACACTCTGAGCAGTCTAAGAATAATAAAACAGTGAGTTACTGGAGATCTCATAGAAAATTCTGCACTCATAATTACAGTAGAACCTGCTGAGTTTGTACCAGCACGTATCTACTGCAGACTAGCAAATATTGTGAATAAAGCAGAAAAAAATCTTGAGTATATTGTACCATTAAAAAAAATCTTAATTCACATACTTTGACGTACATTATTTTTAAGTCTTAGGAAGGAACCCCACTCTAACACTTTATTAAATCTTTGTTGAGGACAAAACAGGGAAATAATAGCACTGTCATAGCTGTGGACCTGAGAATTTGGAATGGAGTTCTAGTGTAATACTTGCCCAATTTTAGGCAAGTACACATACATGAAAATGGTTTACATTGATGAAAGGTACCACAAAAAGGACAGAGTGTATTTCCATCCACCACAGAGCTATGTAGCAAGAACCAGCTGTAAGAGTGCACATTTTAAATTAACTCTTACTTTGGGAAAGTTAGAAGAGGTTTAAAAATACTCCTATCACAGTAACAGAATAATTTACCTTTATCTCCAATGCAATATCAAGGTATGGCTCAAAGGTATCAGAAACTCCTTTGCAGTTTGAACATTTTACTGAAATGAAAACAAATGCAAATATGCAATATAACAACTGTGCTAAAGTAATGTACCAATAAATTTAAATTAACTAGAGCTGAAGTTACTTAATAAAAACAGTTAAAGGCACAAAACCATTCTAAGAAGTAATTTTAGGAAAGGTACCTCTAGATCTAAGATAGCCTCCAAATATTTGATGGATGAGTGTAGTAGCCTGGGTAGGTCTGTCCAATCTGGAAAAAAATGATGCAAGTAATTAAAAAGATTTAAGTTAGTGAATTAATCGTTCTAAGAGTTTCTCGTCTTTTGAAAATTCAAAACATGCTTTCTTTTATTTACAGGGAAACTGTAGTAGGAATGATAGGATATATTCACGTTATTTTGTTTTACACTTACTTGGTGCTCCCATTTAAACATGCTTTCTGCATAGCATCAACAGTGTAACGTAGAAATTCGTGCGCATCTTCCTGATTTCCAAAACGGAAATGTTTTGCTATTCCTAACAAATTAAAAAAAAAAGAGTTAAAAATATGCATCACACAAGAAAATAGTGAAAAAAAACATTTAACAAACAAAGAACCCCCTCTCCCCCCCATGTGCACTTTTCTCCGCAAGCCTAAATTATAAAAAAGCTCCATGAACTATGGTTAAACAAAGCAAGCCAATAGCACAGTATATAAATACAAAGTTGGCATATAAATTATTTGGAACTACTTACGTCGAAGATCATTGATAACAGCCATAGGTTTAATGACACTGCCAGAGTTTGAGAGGGCTTGGTTAATGTGAGTTTGCATTATACACATCATGCAGAATCCTTGCTCATGACCTGAAAAGGGAAGGAACAAAACATCACAAACTGGTAAGTTACATGCAGCTATAGAAAACACGAAAAAAAGTGAGGCTATAGATATAGTCTACACAGTGTTTTTTTTAAGTCAATAGAGGTGAAGAGGTGAAAGGGTTTATTCCATAGGGTGCTCCTACTGGCTATATGAGACTTATAACTGGCTTCTAGGATAGAAAAATCAAGAACACGCTCTATAGCAGGGGCTGGTAACCTATGGCCTCCAGACTGGATCTGGCCCGTGAAACCTCTGGATCAAACCTGCACATGTAGGCCTTTGGGAAGGGGATGGGAGGGGCTTTTGCTGTGGGTACTCTCCCCAGGCCGCCACAGAGACAAGCAGCAGTGGTGACAGGATCCTAATGCCCACCTTCCTTTGATGGAGGGTGTCATTCTGACTCACAGCCAGAACAGGTCATCTACTCACTCCTGCTCTACATAATCACTGCTCTCCTTTCACATTAAGGACTGACCAGCAGATTTTAGAAACGTACTTTTTAGAAGTACTCACATGTCTTGGAGTGTTCATAGGAAAGCATGTAATTGGCAAGAGGGGGCGTGTAAGTCAAACATTGCAGGATAGAGTTGAGAAAACAGGTATTGCCAAGGTTCTGGAGACCAGCTCCAACTCTATGGGATTGTTGCCACTTCAGACAAATCTTCTCTGCTGGAAAAAGAACCTTCTGTGGTGGAGCGATGCCATCGTTAACAGCTGCCAAATAAGTTACATTTTTAAGGTATTAAATCATTTAAATTTTAAAATCACGTTAAAAGTAATACTATCCAATATATGAGTGCCTAGAAGAGCCTGAATAGAATCAATTATAATATACAGTGTAATATTTCATGTTAGTAAAGGCTGTCTCAGTGTTAAAAAGTTAAAAACATCAGAATGTCCCAACAGGGGGGAACAAGTCAAAGGAATTAAAGAATTACTGAAATCCAGGAAGTAATTTCTTTTAACAAGCCCTGTTCTAGCTAATTCAATTTGCCTTAATTAAAATGCTCCTGTTACCTTAAGATACAAAGAGAACCTATACTTATTTTGGTGTAAGTGCAAATAAAATGCAAGAAGGTCCTAAAGCAAGCAAGCAACTGGCACAAAAAAGCCAGACTGATGGGGATTTCCATTTTTATTATTATTATTATTGTTTAAATAACACAGGCTATAACAGCAGCACTGATGAAACAGATCATTCTAAGGGAATAATAAATATCTGATTTAATAAATATTCTGTAAGAATAGTCTATTTACACCTCTAGAACTTTTCTATATTAATTAATCACACGTCAAAATTACATCTGCAACGGTCATATGAACTGGTTTCACAAAGTTCACAATAAAGCAGCACTTGCTCACACTAGTCCCATTTTATACCAACAGAGATTGTCCCAAGAAGTCAGAATTACAAAGATGAGGCTTGCAGAAGAAACAAACGCTGGCTTTTCAATATATATATATTTAAGGTAAGTTGAGAAAGAAAGACAAGACAAACTTACATTGATCTTTCTGAGCTGAAGGCTTGGGTTTTTCAGATACAGGCGAACTAGAATAATCTGTAGCTCCAGGTACTGGTCCCAAAGAGATTCTGTGGTTTGGAACGTCCAGAGATGACACAGTGCCCCAGCTGGAAGAGTCTGAGTCCATCTCTTCATTAGGGGGTCCCACAGAGCTGCCAGTTTGATTCTGACCAGATATGGGGTTTGAAGAGTCAGATCCCTTGTCAACTATAGTCATTGTTCATGTCTGTAACAAAAAGTTGAAAGTTTTGACACTAGAAGCAAGCGTTACCAAAGCATGCCGCAAGGAAAAGGATGCTGACCAGTGCTGTACTGGACCTTCTTCATGTCTAACGCGTGTCAGCAACAACAAGGAACTCTGCATTACAGCCACTGATCACCAAAAATTGCCTTCTAGTTTCAGCCTGATGTCAAACACCAGGATTCTTTGTTAAAACAGGAAATAAAGAAAACGAAGGAAGACGCAACTCGCCAACAGAGCCAGGGAAGACAAAAATCAAAGTTCTCACTTCCTCCTTCACTGGAAACCAGCCCTGTATCCTAATCTGAACATTACTTCAAAAGAACTTTTTTCCTAGGCACCCTACAGCAAAACCACGGCAAGTCATGAGGCTCTGGAGATACATGAGGGAGCTGGGCACGTTTAAACGGGGCGCGTATCCAGAGAGAAAGGAAAAGCCACCATCCCGCTCCCTTCCTACTTTCATTTCTGGCCCCAAGCTGCCACTGGCTCAGGAGAAGGAGGAGGAGGGTTTTTTTTGTACCCTTCACTTTGTTCTCTCCGCCCTGCCCTGTCTCGCGCCGCTACCACGGACGCCTGAACGTTTTCAGTCGTTCCCTCTGCGGTCTGCCGCTCTCCGGGCCCCCGCATCCCCCGCGCGTGGGCGGCCCCGACCCGCGGCCGCGCCACCGCAAG